AAAAAACATTAACTAATCTTAATCTTTAAAATAATAGAATCAGTAAAAAGTTTATTAATAATTTGGTGAACATTGACAGCTTGAAAGCGTGTTGCTAAAAGAAATTATATTATAGAAATTGTATAAAGCACTAATATTTATTTATATGTATTATATTTAAGTGAGTCACATATATGTATCTGACTTGAGTATCAACATTCACACTAAACCCCTATATTAATATACTAAGTCGAGCGAAACATGTTATTACAAAAATATTCAATTAAATTCTATTAAAATCCAAAAGAGCCAGTTTTGAGTCCTGCATACATTGTATAATAACGTAGTGCCCTAAATAAATATTTTGTCAAATATAGCACCCTTTCAATATCCACTTCAAAAAAAATATATGAAAATCAGTAAGTTTTTTATCTTCGCAATTCGAATATTTGAAGTAGAAATGTATGAGTGTTTGATATTTCCGGTCTTTTATTATATGAAAAAATTTTTTATAGAAAATCTTATATCGCGTTTTTTCATATATCATTTCAGGTGAAATGAATTTGAGTATCGACTTTTATCATAATAAATTTGCCACAATAATTTTCATTGTGCAGTGCATAAATTTTATAGAAATATGGTTTTAAAACTTTTTTCCATAATTTAAATGTAAATTGTATCAAAAAAGACTTTAAATAACTTACGCACTGAAAAACATGATAACTACTCACATATGTGTGCATGTCTCGGTTCAGCTTTAATTTCCGCATTTACATGATTTTAGATTATGTCGAGTTGCATATAAATGAAATCGATTTTCTCAGCTGTTGACATACTTACACACATACACATATACATGCATATAGATACGCAAAATCTCCGAGYCGGAGAAATTATGTACACTAATACACGCCCATTCAAAAGGACTAGACGCATGAGTGCGCTATATAAGTTAGATTTAGTATATAATTTTACATAAGCATATGCATATAATATAAAAACTATATATACACATATATTTTTAGATATTTCTAGACATACATATATGCATATAATGTAAAATATCTTCAGTGATATATATTATATTTTTAGCTTTATACTCATAACTTATATGTACACGATCATAAACCGAATCTGTAGCTGAATCCGTTTGCAGCTTCGTGTGGCAACAAAAAAGTCATTAAATGAATTCCTGTTATACGCTTTTTTTTTCTTGTTTTTGTGTGAAAATTAAGTGCATAATAAAAGCAAAGCAGCGGAAATTGCGTACATGAAAATGTGGGAGGCGAAAATTTAAGACGAAGACAGTGAAGTTACGCAGACGATGTCGAGAATTGTCATTATTTGTTTATTTATTTTACATAATTTTTTTGTGCTCTTTTCTTAAGCTTTTTATCGGCACTTATCTACCTGTGTATATATGTAGATCTGTGTGTGTGTGTGTGTGCAGTATAAAAATATGTTTTATGTACTTCCGTAYCTGTATTTACCATATACGCGGGCAGTGGGATTCTGATATGTATCTATAACGAGAAGAAAAATTATAAATAGCTTTGAATGCTTTGTGTTTTTTTCTCTCCATATATAATTTAAGAGTGTGCCACAAAATTGGAAGGAATCAGAGGAACTCATTAACATAAATATTTAAATAAGCTGYAGATTGACGATGTGAATCTTTTAGGAATATGGTGTATTCATAGTATTCAGGCAGGAGTGGCTGTTACTTAAAAAGGTGCACCAAAAAATAAATTTCTTGATAAGAWACTCAAGGTTTAAGAATTATTTCAAAAATGTGTGAATAACTGGAAAAGAAAAGGCAACTCAGGGTAGCCAGAAACTCAATATAAAACATACATGACAGAGTAATTAATAGTTGTAAAAAAGTTTTTGGCCGCTTACAGATATTCATGAAGATAACTGTACGAGGTCTTATATAATCTTTGCTGTTTATTTATTTCTTTCTATTTTTTCTATTCATATGCCTGTTCTATTCAAATTAACTTGAAACTAAATTCATTTTCATTGTATATCTTGGGTGGTTTAAAGTGGTCTTGCCACTAGYTCGCATTGTATAGTACGAAATTTCTAAAGTAGGAACTATCACAAACACAMATTTCAGTAGACATTTTGTTTAGTACATATCAACGATATGCAGTGTCCCAACCTCGACCTTTATCTAATGACCTGATAGTTTTTCGAATATTATACAAATTTTCAAATATTGCTTACAGTTAATTCGCTCTGAATCAAGTTGGCTCTATTCAACAACTATAATTTAGTTATCGTTAGTATAAAAGAAGAATACAACTTCCTTATATAAGTCCGAATTTAAATCTTTTATGACTTTGTATTCATAATAACTTATTTTGTAATAATTATATTGTTTATTTGCTGATTTTATCAAATTTTTGCAACAAACTCGAAAAATGTGTTTCTCAAATGAATATTGGAAGCACTAAACTTATTTATAGACGCCAATTCACATCGTACAAAACATGCGATCTTTTGTGGTCCGCATTTAATAGATCCTGGAACATTTCATTGCTTCTGAAAATAAATTTAATATATATTAACAGCTTCCAACCCACATAGCTTCTTTTTGCTTTGTTTTAAATAATCAATTTCAACTCAAAAATAAAGTGCATTTATCTCCAACATTTCTCAGTTGAAAATGAATGAAAGGCAAATAAAAGCAAGTATTTAGTACGCAATAACTGAACTTATGTAGCTTAACTCTAAATATARGGCAAGCCTCCCTTACTCTTACCAGTAGTAAACTACCACAAAGCAGCTACAAAATCTTCGAACTTTCTCAATAAGGTCTTTATCCTTTTTTAATTAATTCAAAATTTACATACTTACAAGATCAATAATTTATTACATATATGAACTATAAACAAATTTCCATCTAGCATTGAATTATTACTTTCACGCCAAAGTCACTTCAAATAAGTTTATCATTGCATGTTACGTAATTTTCATACAACTTACATTAAGTTAATAAACAATATTTTAAATTTAAGGATAGTTTAATGGGAAGTTAGAATTATTGGTCTGTGATAAGTGATTGTCATGTCAGAATTTTATAAAGGAAATCATTAAAGAGTTAAAGCGAAAAGTCAAGTCTTCAAAAATAACAATATTTAAAGGTCGCATGAACGCTCCTTAAACAAAACAGAAAACATCCACGCAGTTCGGTTTCATAACACAACATATAAAAAATTTCTGAAGAAGCAAAGCAGCTACAARAAAGTGCATATATATGTACATATGTAYGTACACAAAACATTAAATATAAATTTAAAACAATTATTGGACAAAATATAAAAAACAAATCACTGTTTCCCAATAAACCAAAAGAGAAATAAAAATTTCGCGACAATTGATTGTTACTCGCGAAACTCAAGCAAAAAATCGCGTGTGATCAAAACTAAAAAAACAAAAAAACAAAAACACAGCCACCACACCATACCAAAACCAAAAACTAACACCAAATCAAACAAAAATCGAATTCGAGAAGCCCAACATTAAGCAATAAATAGCCACAATAACCGCCACCTCCGCCGCCGACGATCCAGTAAACATGTTGGCGATGCCGACTCTCATGATGCCAGCCACAGCACAAATGACGATCAGCAGCCAACCCCTGTCGGTGGGTGCGCCGCACGCCAAGCCCTACGAGACCAAATTGCTGACCATTCATCAATCGCATATGCAGCAGTCGCATCATCAGAGCAGTGCTGCGGTTGCCGTTAGTAAACAACAACAACAACAGGCACAACAGGCTCAGCAAATGTCAGCCAATCAACAGGCTGTTGTGCAACAACAGCAGCAGCAGCAACAACAACAGGCCGCACAAGTAGCGCATCAGCAACAACAAGCCGCTGTAGTGGCACAACAACAGCAGCAACAAGCTGCCGCCGCTGCTGTGGCTCAACATCATCAGCAGCAACAGGCTGCAGCCGCTGCTGCAGCAGCTGCTTGTGTGGCACAGCAACAGGCTTGCGTTGCAGTGCAACAACAGCARCAACAACAACAGCAGCAATATCAGATACACTCGCAGCARCAGTCGCCGCAGCAGGTGCTGAGCAGCAGTTCGCCAAAGCAAGGTGAGTGATGTGCGACAAGTGGCGTTTGGGTGACACTTGATAGTTATGGGGGAGTTTGTAAATGTTGTTGTAAAGKGCTTCTGTAAAGTGTTCCTTAAGATCATAAAGCTGACGATTCAGTTTTGGTATTCAACTCAATATAAGTACTGTCGTAAATATCGTCCTTTAATTGTCCATTTATTTTAATTTTAATTTCAAATCTCTATGTATCTGTGTGCTTAATAAATTTTGTCATAATTTTTATGACAATAACTTTAATTGACTATGCACTGTAAAGAAAATCTGCGCCTTTATTTATTGTATTCATCTTTTTATTACTTGGAYACATTTAACTACTACTAATGTTTACAAAATAGGTAGAGTAGGTCATTACTTCTTAATACATTTTAAACGCTGAAGTTGGCATTAAAATGCTGTCCTACTGAATATGGTACAACATTTTGATAGGTGCTTACAGGTTGTCAAAAAAGTTCTAATAGAGTAGTGAATACTATAAACATATAATAATTTTACATATAATATATTAAACATATATTAATTTTACATATATTATATATTTACAGTATGTATAATTTTAGATTTTCAAAAAAATATGTCTAAAATCATGGAACTATATTTTATGTTACATAACTCGTTTGAGAAATTTCTTTTTTGGATATATTATATATTGGTTCAAAAAAACCCCAGAAATTGTAATTCAGTTCACCGGGTAAATGATATTTAAACGATTTATGTATTTTGCTAAATTGGTAGGACTGTCCTTAGTTACTATGGAAAATATGAGCGCGATCTGTATATCAAACTGGTAGCAGCAGTGTGATCAAAAACAGAAGCCTACAAATCGTTCAAGGAGGATCGAAAGACACTAAAATGAGATAACAATCAAATGATTCTCATTTTCCATTTTTACACATATATATATCATAGAATCTTTAATTTAATAAAAAATTTGTTTCTGAATACAATTACATGCTGAAGATATGCGCAGAAATACATATAATGGATGCCAAGTTCTCCTTACGATGTTCTTAACTCGTCAAATATGAAAGAATAATTATATTTATTATCCACCTGTTCATAAAATTTTAACCACCTTCTATCTTATGCCAATATATGAGCTGTCTTACTGAGAATCAATAATTACTTTATTTTAATACAAGAGTGTCTTTAACCTTAACAAGTATGAACAATAATTTCGGTAACCTTCTAAGTAGTGCTAATTTTATATTAATGCTTTTTTTAGTTATTTTTTTTTTAATTTTTTTGCAATATAATTTAATTTTTAATTGCTCTCTTTTAAATATATCTAAATAATTATGACAAAAAATGCGGCAGCTGAATTTTATAATTCATGAGTATGTATTTACCAATCCCACATATTAAACTTTTTCGAAATATTTGCATACATAATAGTTTGGAGCAGTATCTTTCTTAGTTTAAAGTTCAGCAGAATAAAATTTCAATAAAAAGATTATGAAAGATAAACGTAATATTAATAGATTTTCAAGAAAAAAAAAAAAATCAGTTCTCTAACCATAATGAAAACCCTGATTTTCTCTGCCGTCCAGCAAGGCCATTTTCCCGAAAATATATTCACCTATAATCGAGTGAAAACACGCAGCGGCTTGGCTGGCATTAGACTCAATGTATACCATGGATATTATTTATTTCACTAAAATGTTGAACCTTTAAGATTGAAAGAGATATAGATAAGATCCCTTTTATAGCACTTAATTAACCAAAGTGAAGTAATTTCGATAATAGTTTTTGTTCGTTTTTTTACACATTTTCTCATAAAGAGGTTCTTATTCACCAAATGGAAAATTGTTGTACTTCTCAGGTGCTTTAACAATTTATTTACTTATATAATGCGAAAACTTACAAATTGAATATTGAAAGTGGCGTTCTGTTGTTGATAAAAGGAAACTATTATTAGCTCATAAGTTGTAAATAAAGCCACAGCTAAATGAAGTCTATACAAGATGACAAGGTGCCCCCTGCTGTTGAGTTTCTTTTTTCATTCGAGATGGAGAACTTTTGAAAGTAAATTGATTGTACTTTATTATTTGTTATGCAAAATCTGTCCTATAAATATGAGGATTGTGTACAAATTTAGTATTTTTCAAAACAAAATCCGTATTTTAATATATATTCATAATATATGTAATTGTGTTAAATTGCTAAACATCAACCACCGACAAATGTTTGGCTCAAACCATGGCACCCRTGTCCGATTACGGGATCCATGAATTATTTACTCAATCTCACATATACGAGTTTGCAATCTCGCCATATTGAGTTTCATAACGCCTTGTGACAAAAAAGTAAAGCAACTGGAAATAAAACGCATCCCCACCAGATGTAATACACTTATGCCAACGATTTTWCCAGCCCTCGAAACCTTCAGCAGATAAGAAAATGACACACGGAGCAAATTCTAATGAATATGGAGATTGATCGATAGTATACTATACATTTTGGGTTTGGCTTCAAATTTTCAGTGTTTCTATAGATCATGGCGCAACAAGGTCGGAAATGAATAATTATAATATGTGATATTGCAGGTAGTTTTCACTAATACTCAACTCTATTCGTACCCAAAATAATTCATTATACACATAATAACACAATTAAGCAAGAAAGACGGCAGATTCCAATTTATACTTTTGGGCAAAATGACATATATCTCGGTGCGAAGCAAATGCTATCAAAAACAGTTGCGATAATTGATGAAACTTCGTAAAACTCTTGAAAATAATTAAATGATCTGTGTGTCACCACCAATTTGTGGTATGACTTTTGAAGAAACACTTTTCCGGACCAAATGACTACAGTTATTCCTATTTCGTAGCTGAGTACTTGACACCAAACTGCACTTAACGCCTTATTAAATATTTAAAGTGAGCCACCAACATATATAGAATAATTTTGTGCGCTCACAATGCAAAAGATGGTTGTGTATAAGCATCTACCTATACACAGGTAAGTACAAACATATAAAGAGTGGTTATCCGAATGGCAGATTAAAATCTGTAAGAATTTCACGTACAAGCCATGTTTGTTAAATCAACTGATGCCAAAATGCCTGTGCACCCAAACAGTGATTGCTTACCGTGGCACACCCACCAACAGCCCACAATAGCGGTGCCAACCAGCGGCTTTAACCGACAGCGTTGCGAAAGGTGCTCATATTTACTTGTGAAATCACACACACATTCMWACATAYATTTGTGTTTCCATGTGTGTGCCTGTGTGTTGCTTGTACAGCGGTTGGGCTGACTGACTGTTTGGCTTGCCTGACATGTGGAAAAGTAAACGAAAATCAATTTGAAATTATTGTCGATTTCCAGATGCTATTGATTTCGGGGATGTCCGGGACGCAGCTGGCTGATTTTGTTGGCACTAGCATTAGCGTTGGCATGGCATCAATAGCTGGAATAAGTAGCAGGCAACCTACTTGGACGCTCGGTTGCGCCAACTTAACGAAAGACAAACGAAAACAATTCCCAAAGAAAATAAGAAAACAAATAACAAAATGAAGAGTGTAGAAGGCGGGTGGAAAAAAAGTAAACAAAACAAACAAGAAAAGCTGAAGTCAAAAGTGGCAGCAAACTATGACGTTAAGCAAGGTGAAGACGCTGAGGTAGCGCGCCGCATGCGGGTGGCGGGAAGCGGTAGATATTGATAAAGAAAAGCTGCTGAAAGCATTCGAGAGCAAGTGAAAGCCAGTCAAGAGCAGACAAGCCGAGTCAAGCCATGCCGAGCCAAGTCAGCAAGTCCAGCGCAGACCGAAACTGTTCGAAACCTAACCAAATAGATTTGTTGCGGGGCAGCAAGTATGTGGGCAACAGGAAATGGCAAAATGCGAAAGACAAAAAAAAAAAAAAAAAAAAAAAAAAAACAAAAAAAAAAAAAAAAAAAAAAAAAAAAAAAAACACAAAACATACGAAAAAGTTCAAGAAAAATTTGATTGAAAGAGACCAACGGCATATAAAAGTGGGAGCGCTGCTACGGCAAGCAAGTGGGTTTCAATTTCATTTGTCTGCATTACACTGCTTCTAACATACTGTATTATACATATAAGTAGGTGTACACATTTATACATTTAAGTAACTATATAGATATCGACTGGTTGCTGCTTTAGCTCAAGCATGCCAGATTGATGCTTAACGGTAATTTAATTTTCAGTTCAATGGGATTTAATGCATAGCAACTGCACGAGCAGTAAGTAAATACGCGCACAAATACCTACACACTTACTTGTGGGGAGCAGATTAGAGTTTAGGTTAGCTTCTGTCAAACATTGAAGAGCTCGAGTCAGCATATCAGCCTAATTTCGGTAYACGCTCAACCCACATTGGCTTTACACGACTTTTATGGTAATCATGTTACTGGCTACTAGCCTGACTGCTGCTGCTGCCGCTTTTCACCCTTCTTTTTCTTGGAAGCGGCTTTGTTTGAGTGCTGACAAAAATTTAGCATAATGCCATGTGTATCGCTTTGCTTTGCGATGCTCGACGTGATTGCACTTGAAATTGAAACTGAAATTGTTTGCTCACCAACACAACGATAACTGCATATTTGCATGATTGTTTTTGTTTTTTTTTTTGCCACTTACACACAGCTGCACATATAGTATACATGGCAAGCATATGTTTATACAAGCTTATTACTTATATGCAAAATTTGTGCTTACTGCCAGCATTTGTTGTTGTTTCGAAGAAAATCAATAAGCTGCTGCATGGAGCAAGAAAATCTGCCAATAAATACATGTTTACAAATGCATAAAGAGCTAAGCAAAAAATGTTATACATATATACACACTGTTATATAATATGATTTCTCAACAGCTATTGGCTTTAAAATACACTTGTGCAGTAAATTGCTGTCAACCAGCTATTGAGCATTGAGTATTGACCAAAATGTTGCTTGCTCGAAGTGCACTCACTTACAAGTACAAACACATACATAGGTATATGTGTATGCCTTTATGTAAAAGT